CATTTCTTTTCCATCAGACTTCCCAGCAGACCAGCTCAAACCCGAAACGGGACCCTCTGTGTTTGCCATCTGCCACTACAGCTCTTCTAGAGGGAGCTGCTGACCAAGCAGCCACTCAGGGTAAGGCTCCAGCTCAGGGGGGCACATGTGATAATCCCTCCTCCTGAGGACATGGACACTGCCCTCCAGTGCTCGAGGGCATTTTCCCTTAAAGCATTAACAAGTATCTTGAAGGGAAGAAAGTTTCCATGAAACAGGGCCAAGTAAACCAGCCAGGTTTTGAAACAACGCACAGGAGCAAATAGATTTCCAAGTAATTAAAATAATATGCTGATAATCAAATTTGTGCAAAGCAGTGTTACAGATGCTGATGAAATTTCCCAAAACCTAGCAAATTGGCAGAGGAATTTCCTTTGAAGCTTAGAATGTGAAATCCTGGTCAAGCTCACCTATGGAGAAATCGGGGCTTGTCATTTAATGTACCGCTGTTACTTCATGAGGGAAATGAGTGGCATTCCTAGTTCTGGCTCAAGGTCTGTTGTCTACTCACAAACGTTCTTTTGTGTGAATAATAAAGGATTTCGCGTGAAAGTGCATGGCTGGGACCCTAATTCCACAGCTACACAGTCGCTTTAAGGCAGTGTAAATAGAGGCTGCTGCTGGAGGGGATAATCTCCTGTTCTTAGCACCCTGGATATGCATTCCCAGCCAGCAGGGAACTGTTCTAGTTATAAATAAAGGGATCATGGAAAAAGTGGAGATAAGACTTGTCCTTTGTGGTGGCAGCCCACACCTCAGCTTAAAATCAGAAAGGAATGACAGATTTTAAAGAGAGACTAGTAGAAAATAAAATCCTGTTCAGAACAGTCAGTTTTCTTAGATAACAATCCTTGGTCTGTAACAAGTAGGATCTCACCAGAACGTACCGACGGCTATCGGCAGTGGAGCTTTACCCTGCTGCAGCAGCGCCTTAGATAAAACGCACTCTGAACACAACCAGAAGGGAGACTGATGCACAGGGAAACGAGCGCACAGGTCATTACCCACAAAATTTGGGAAAGGAGAACATGGGGAGCCAACGCGCACTTCGGTTATTCTGAAACATTGTTATTTACCGAGACAGGAGAACCTCGGTGACCAGTGAGGCTGAAGCAACACTAGCAGTGATCACGCTGTATAATTACAGTGGGCATCGCACATGTGATATTTGGGCATTTTTGGCATTCTGGGGGACATTGGGATGTTTTCCTGATTCTGAAAAGAGCCTTTGGGTGCTTTTTGTGCAAAGCACTGAAGTGTTCCCATCACAACAGCAGCACCTCCACCGGCGCTCCGGCTCCAGGCAGATTTTTCAGACGTGAATCCTGACATCGTACAGTTATTCAAAGACCACTGAGTGGTCTTGCCTGGTAAGGACTAAGTTGGTCAGGAATCCAGAGCACAGGCACTAAACTGTCACTGTGCTAAACCTACAGCTGCTTTAATGTCATTTTCTAGTGTAACACAAGTGGAGAGCCAGATCGAATAATTTTCACTTTGTGCTCAAAATACGGAAATTATCATACAGATTATTCCCTGTTTTCTTTGCTTAAATCGGACTTTCACTGACTTTGTTCCTTATGTGAAAAATGACCTCAGGCTTGTTCCTCTTTTTAAGGTTTAGGACTCCACATGACGCCAAGAGGCACAGTCCCACTGAAGAAGGTGAGGACCAAGGACTTGGATTTGTCAAAATTAAGCGATGAATGTTCTTCAAAGAGGTGTCACATCTTATCTAAGTATTATTTTCTCATCTAAATATTACTGGAACTGTGCGTAGAAGCACTCCAAAAAACACTGACACCATTACCGATGCTGGGGGCATGCTCCTTAGGGCCTGTGCATATGCTAGCACCGATCAAACGATTACTTCCTGACAGAATTACTCTCAACCACAAGCCATTTAAATAAAAAAAAGGGAACTGCTTACCGTCCAAATCCAGCGGCTAACAGGAACTATTTGCCTCCTTCATTGAGACCGCCTGTGTTTGGGATAACCTCTACAGACCCTAGGAGCAACCTGAATGAAAGAGCAAGGTCTCCTCCCAAAAGCAGGCGAACTGGACAGCAGGATGTTCTGATGAAGACACAGGCCGCTTGGAGCGGCTCTGACCCAAGCCTTTTGTGGCCAGTAGGTGAGAAAAGAAGTGCTGGAAACTCTGCGCATGAGGAAAGGAGGTGTGAAGGTAGCACAGCGCTGAAAACCCTGTTTTCTACCTGCATCAGCACCTTTCAGTTATTGGTGACTGATGTACTACGAAAATCAAGATGGTCTTTGCAGGAAGTTTTTCAGAGAATTGTTGTATCCATGTAAAGTCACAGAAGACATGTATTACAGTCATTAAAGCAACATAAAACCTCACTGACTGTCAAATTTTCATGTGTTCTGTAACCTTCATTTACAGGATTATCAAAATAATGCTGTACCTTCACCTGCT